TCACTTTCTCCACTTCAGAGAGGGAGCTGGTGAAGAACTTGCGTGATCTGGCCAGCTCCTCCTGGATCTTGCGCTCCTCTTTGCTGTAATCCTGCAGGACTCCTTTATACCTCGCTTGCAAGTCTTTCGAAACCCCTTCCAGACACACCTTCCTTTTCTGAAGGTCTCCCATCAACTCCCGCAGCCGCCCAAGCTTGGCCCCAAACTCTCTCCTCCTTTCGTCAGCTGCCTCTTTGATCGCAACCAGCCCATGCCCCTGTTGCACGTGTTCGGCCTCCTTGCATGGCTCGCATAAGACCAGCCCGCAGGTCCTGCAGAAGTGCTTGGGGAGCCGCCGGCCACAAGCCTTGCACATGAGCATGCCAACAGTTTCATTGAGCCCCGCAGTATCGATGATCTTCAGCACGGTCAGGTTGTCCGTCAGTTGAGCCAGGCTCGTGATCCTGGTGATCTTGCTACAAAAGGGGCAGCGTATCCCGTTAATGCTGTTGGCAAGGAGCTTCTCCAGGCACTGCTTGCAGATGGTATGCCCACAGTGCAGCAGCTTTGGCCTCAGGTGCTCCTCAGTAAAGCACTCCATGCAGATGGGGCATTCCAGGACTTCTCGAAGTGCGTCGGAGTTGAGCTGAGGGGCAGCGGCCATGGCCTTTGCAGATGAAGCAAGGCTAGTTGCATTTATCTCAGACGCTTTCCAGTCCTGTTCAAGGGAAGAGAAGGAAAACAAAATAGATTCCACATCACCGCAGTTAAGTTCTTCTGTATGTTGAACCAGACTGCGTCATTGTGCAACAGGGGGATACTACTCTAGCATATGAGCTTGCCGTATCCATCGTATTACCAACATCTTAGCAGACTTTTCCTTCCTTCCCCTTCCCTTCTTCCTTCCTTGTGTTGTGTGTGCAGGGGGTTACTGAATCTCATGGCTGAGGGGAAAATGGAGATTAAGGTAATGTTTGCTAAAGTTTCTATGAGTAAAGTTGTTTTTTTTTAAAAAAAAGAGGGCCAGGAAGACAGACTCTCGTACTGCAAAGTTCTGTGTCCATACACCCCACTTTCTGCTGCCAACCAATACCCAACCCTCATCCCTTCTTATCTATTGCGCCTCCATTGTGTGTTATCTGAATTTTTAGTTGTCTGCATTTTCTGACTGAGTGTGGGTTACAGACATTTACTGCATTTCCTCTGTGCTTTTCTTTCACAGGATTCAGGCAGTGTACATGGGGGGGGGGGCAGTTTCCAGGTGATCTCAACCTGAAGCTCACCAAACAAGAACTCCTTAGGTTCAAAAATAGCAAACACCCAATGAAGTCATGTGCAGAAAATGCACAGCGCTTAACTGCTGTTCCCAGCCTAAAT